TCTTCCCGCAGCTTCTGGTTCTTGCCCTTTTCTTGCTCAATAGTTCAATTAAAATTATAATAACTCATCTTTAGAAGAAAAAATTGAGCCTGGGCAACTGCCCAGGCTCGCTTAAACGTGAGTCCGCCCCTGAGTATAAGATAAAGAAATGATGTTTAAAACTGATTTAATATAAAAACAGTGAAAAACTATTGTTAATGATTAGTTATTAAATATATGATAGTGCAAATAGTGTTTTTTAATTGTAGCGACTTGGTGAGCTACCATCTTTCTCTCAATCGTTTGTCTCCAGACTCTGGAGGGTTCACGCCAAGCTTCATCAATCGCCACGAACAATCGCTTTCAAGCAATTTTTCTATCTCGACTGGCCAGTATAGCAGATTAGGATTTCATCACCTTCTCTTCTTTTATCAAGCAAGAATGGTCGTAGATCAGGAGCGGTTAAGCAAATCCGTACGCAAATAGGAACAAGTTAAATAACGGGAATAGAAGATCGGTAGAAGGCAAGAAACTCTCGTAAGAGGTCTTCCCGGTCGAGATGCCTGAGGTGTATCGGTATTAACTCGCAATGGTCTTGTAACTGTGGAAAAGGGGTGATTGCACTTCTACTATGGCATCTTAGCGATGCGGGCAAGCCTTGTTCTCGGTAATATACTCGAAGATGCAATCCAACGAACGAAGGTAATACCATACTAGGAAAGTAGCTAAGAATGAAGCTCATAATGGAGCTATTGCAACTAAGAATTAGACCAGAGAGATGAGGGATAAAGCAGCTAATGCCAAGTCGGCGTAGCTAGTAGCCTGTGCTCTTGTTCCCGGTTAAACCGGCAAGCATTGATCGTCATCCCAAAAAATAGAAAATCCCAACTTCCTGCTTAGAAAGAGAAACCCTGTCATTGATTCCCGCCTAAACGCGAGAAGAAACCCCCTTATCCGAAGCACTTTTCTTAAGGGTAAGGGGGTCAGAGCACCAAGTAAATACCCGCCAGCATGCTCTTAATCAGTCCCGAACTCCTGATTTCTATATCTTCTATCTGTCTCTGACCGAAATCAAAATTCGATTTGGACCGAAATTGAAAACGATTATTTGGTTGGGTTTTCGGTTTACGTTTTCCTAAAATTTTGGTTTTCAGTTCGGTTTGGATAGTTGTGATCTGTTAACCGAACTGAACTGAAAATCAATTTATATACTTGGTTTCTATTTATTCATATAAGTTATAAAAGCATTAGTTTGCTTCAATGATTGATGTTTTCAAGCTTCACTAAAATATCTAAAGTATTAACTTGACTCAAAATTGGCTTCGTCATAGTTCCAAGTCACGGTTCGGGTCCGAAGTCTTCTTTTGAGGATAATTTAAAATTTATTGAGAAGATTAAACAAAATAATAAAAAATTATTATTATTTTATTGGGATAAAACATCAAATTATTATTATTCTTTTATGTTAAAAATTCAAAATTTATTCATAATATTAATTATTTATTGCGATTAACCGAAAACCGAACCGAACTGACCATTGGATTTTCGGTTAAAAACCGAACCAAAATATAAATTTTAGTTATGATAATGGACAAACCGCATTTTCGGTTAACCGAAAATTCGGTCAGTTCCGTTCGATTTTAACCAAATGCGCAACCCTACTTTATGATCTGGCTTTAAGCACCTGCAAAGCCCCAGTGAGGGGCTTCGAGCTCTAGCTGGTATATGTGTATAAGAAACAACTCTCAACTCGTTTGCGTGAGAGTAATAATAGTTGTTATGATGATTTTTATTCTTTCATGATCTATTTGTAAAAATTATAATTATCTCTTATTCAAGTTTGTGACGCGCGCTTAAGATTCCACAAAATGTGATTTCTCTTATGCCCACTGTGAAAGCCTTCCTCGTGCGTACTCTATATTTTATAATTTTGTTGTATTTGGTGCTTCTAACATTGTGAACTTTAAAGTCTTCCTCGTGTGTACTCTATATTTTATAGATTTTTTACTTTCGGTGCTTCTAACCTTAATCACCACGACCTATATCACCGGATACATTGTACTAGCTTGATAATAGTCAGGTCAGCCAACTACCTTAGTTTGAGCCCAATCACACCAGTTGTCAATTGAAGCATCCCCTTAATTAGAAGAATAATCCCCTCAACTGATTTAAATGGTTAAATCAGTAATAATAAAAATAATAATTATTATTTTTTATAATTTTCTTCTTAATTTTCACTAAAAAACACAATGATGAGACGATGAAAAATAATCAATGCAGTATATCTTCTAAAATTACCTTGTATTTAATCCTCGTACCAATGTGAGAAAATGAAAATTTTATCCAAACAAAATAAAAATGTTACACATCTAGTTTTCACTACCACCTTACATTTTTTGGTATCGTTCAAAGTACATGGTATGAATTAAATAATTTTATTTTGTGTACTCTTAAATCCATATAATTAATTAGATTTTCTGGTCAAAACTATTTCAGAAGGTCCACCAGTCTCGCCACGAGAGTTTGAAACTTCGAACGACTCAAGTACGAACGCAATCCCGCGCAAAATTTTTGCTGAAATTGAAATTCATTCACAGCACATTTACCGATATACCCTTCAGCCACCAGACAATTACGCGTTTAACATTCTTCATATTTTTCTTTGTCTCCCAGTCTCGCACTCTCCCACCAAGTCTGCAGTTCTCACAGATATAACCAAATCCCACCTCAATAAGCAGCGGCGGATATGGCCGGCTTTCAATCGGAAAATACGCCGTCTGCTCAGCCTCCTCCGGAACTCGACGCGAACCCTAATCCGACAACTTCTGTTCGAAACAGTAGAGATGAAGCGTGTGCCGATATGGATACGGAGAATTTTCCGAGTTCCAACGGCTTTTCCGCCGGAAAATTGTCTAATGTGAGAGTTGAGACCCTTAGAATCTCTGGAAATAACAGCTTTAGACGGTCCCCGAGACTGGTTAACAATGCTAAAGCGGAGAGCGCCGCGAAGGAGGTGAACTCCGCCAAATTGAATGGTTTCGTGGAGAAATCTCCTCCGTCGAAGAAGCACAAGAGTGAGAAAAAGGTTTCGTTCTTCATTGGAGATCCAGTTCCAGAGGACGAAGCTCGGAGACGTTGGCCCTGGCGGTATGAGAAAAATAAGGTGTGTTCTGCATCACTAACCCTCCTTGGTGTTCTGCGAGATCACAAATTTTTCGTAAGAAATGCTGCTTAATGTAATTGTGTTGGTTAATATTTGGAAGGTATAAAGGTGAAATGCTGCTTAATGTGATTGTGTTGGTTAATATTTGGAAGGTATAAGGTTTATTTGGAATTCGAAGATTAACTTTGAAATTTCTTGAAGATGTGGTTCGAATAATGTATTAGAGTTTTCTGTTATTTAGTCAAATGATGTTCCGATTTCCATTTAACGTGATTATGTGGTTCAGAAGGACGAACTGGAGTTACTGGAAGAGTTTAGAAAGTCATCGCATGTCCTTTCTTGTTAAAATGAAATGGAAATGTAATTGGACTCCTAATTGACTATTGCTTAAATTTTCATCCATGTGGTAACTGATCATATGAATAGCACTATGTTGTGCACATTGAGACATCAAGTGTATGTGAAGCAAGAGAGCAAAACGCTAGGTAAAAGGCGGCATGCTGAAAAGAATCTTGCCAACAGTTACCAAATGTCCCAGACTATGTAATCTGAATCAAAGCCGAAAAGGCACTACAAACCTCATCTTCACTTTCTTAAACAACATTGTTTTTGCTATGCCTCTATAAAATTCTCAACGCCCTCCATAATTGATCTAAGAAAGAGGAAGCAGATTTAGTGTTGGTTTAGAAGAAAATTGATAGGAAAAATATGAAATGCATGACTTCATACTTCTGTACATGAAAATTGTATCCTACACGCTACATGTTCTGCCCTTAGGACATAAATATATACCCTTAAAGATATCACACGCCTCTCTACTGCGCTTAAGAGAGAGAATACATAGCCGCCTTCAGTCAGGGCTGCTTTTGATTGAATGGGCTTCTCACTGTCAATGAATAACATGGAAATTGTTGATGACCCCTCATATTGTGTACAGGTCCGGACTTCCACTTGCCCTCTGGTCTGGAAAGATTTAGATTTATAATCATCTGCATCAATTCGGCATATTATCCACCTGTTTAACTTTTACTCACAGTCTCATTTGTCCAAATAGTTAAAAATTTTCATCGAAAAGGTAATAGCAATTGTTTTAGGAAAAAGTTGTCACTATTGTTATTCAAGAAATTGTCGGGAGATTATCACTGTATTATTAGATTATTAAATTTTTTTATTGCCACAGCTCTGCGTGAATTGGAAGTTGTCCTATAAAAGATCGAAATCTCTGTTAAAATAAAACTCTATTTACAGCTTACCAACTTTCAGTGACCACGAAAAAGTATCTAAGTGTGCAAGACTTTTATTGAGAAAGAAGTGAAGTGAATTCACAATGCATGTACGCATATTTTGTAAATTTGTAAATAAAAAAGGGATTTATTTCTTTCCATTATTGTTGTAGGGTCTACAAAATAATGGATTACGGTCGAAAACAAAGTAAGTGATAAAGTGATTCAAATGTTGATTTTATGACTTATTTTAATTTCCCTACATTAAGTTGTTGCAACCTTTGTAGGATTGAAGATGATGATGGTGATGAGGAGCTTGTTTTGGACATAAAATGCCACTATTCTCAAGCTGAAATATTGAAGACCGTATTCTATCTTGGTGATTGTGCGTATGTCAAAGTAAGTTTTCTCTAATATCTAAAATCGAAGTGTCTGTTTGAAGGGACGCTGAAAACGTTATGGTGCCAGGAAAAAAATAAAATATTGTTGTCCTTGTACTTTATATCCATATTACTGCACACAAATGTTGTTATTAGTATAGTTGCAGCTCTACTGACCTTTTTCCACTCTATACAATTGTTGCCGTCAATGTTTATAGGGTCCAAAAGGAGGCTCTGATTATGTTGGCAAAATTATAGAGTTTTTCGAGACTATTGATGGTGAAGACTATTTTAGGGTTCAGTGGTTTTTCAGAGCTGAAGATACGGTGGCAATTATTATATTTGTTATTACCTTTTTCTTGTCAGAACTATTTTTTTCCTTTAAGTGTTTCACACTGAAATTTCGTAATTTGCATACCTTTTTCAGGTAATAAAGGACGACGGGATATCTCATGACAAGAAGCGATTATTCTATTCTACTTTAATGAATGATAACTTATTGGACTGCATTGTTTCAAAAGTTGAAGTTGTTCAAATACCTTCAAACGTATGTCTCTAATTTGTGTGATTTAACCGTTTGTAATGTAGTAATATTATCTGTAGTTATTGCATGAAAACAATATGCACTCGGGGCTTACACTGCCCATCTTTTACTTGACAATTTTGTCTATGTGGCTCAGACATCATATGTTAAACCCTTGTATTTTGAGTTTCTTTTGGAATAATTAGTACAATCTAGCTGTTTTACTCCAAAACAAACCGCACCTCGGGCTTGTAGCTCAAGTGGTAGATCTCACCCTTATAAAAGTGCTGTACGGGTTAATATAAAGCTCGATACCTGTACCTCTCAGTTTCTGAGGTACTTAGACTTCCCTCCCCTCTAATCACACTCTAACTATTAAATAAAGTATTAATAGTTTATATTTTTGAAATACTATTTTTAGGTTGTCTGCTAAAAGTTTATCTTTGTTCACGTTGATCCCTTCAGATAATTTCACCATCAATTAAGAAGTGATTAGAGGGACTAGACTTGTTAAAACACCAATATTTAGGTGCTACATTTCTGTAGCACTTACCACAAGTGGGAAAACTAATTAATGAATTAGTGGCCAAATATATGATATGTTCTTATTGATTGAATAGCTTTATATTTATACAATTAAGTAGTTTGTTCTATTATGTTCCTGACAAAGTTTCTTGTAGGTTAATTTGAAAGCACAACCCATCCCTCCCTGTGACTTCTACTTTGATATGCAATACTCTGTGGATTACTCGACATTTAGTACCATTGTTAAAGGTAAAATGGATTTACTTGTGTGCAATGAAAATCACAACATATGTCTTGCCTTTTATATATTGTAGTGGAGAGTGGACAATATAACATTAGAACCCCACTTTTGGTAATTTGGTAGACCCTGTTATTTTAACTTCAGGGAGTTTATTATCACTCGTTTTGGCCTAACCATGCAGATACTAGTAGTTTGTCTCCTCTTCCTTATCCGCTAACGACATTGACCAAAAATGAAGATGGAACCTGTAAAAATATCCACCAATGCACTACAGATGAAACAAACAGTAACAAATTATGTAACCCTGAGCTAGCATTACTGGACTTGTACTCTGGTTGTGGTGGAATGTCCACAGGGTTGTGCATTGGCTGTAAAGCCAGCGGTATAAATCTTGTGACGGTAATATTTCATGATTTTCAGCTTTCTAAAATTTGGTCTTTCTTTGAACTGCATCTTATTCAGTATACATGACTTCTTTTTAATGAATAAAGAGATGGGCTGTTGATCTCGATGAAGCAGCATGTCAGAGCTTGAAGCTAAACCACCCTGAGACACATGTGGGTACTTAGTTATTCTTCGGTTTTCAGTTCCTAAGTTTCTGTGAATTTTTTTGTTTTTGAAATGTCTATCCTTTGGACAGATTAGATGTGGATATGCAGAGGATTTCCTTCATTTGCTGAAGGAATGGGACTCACTGTGTAAAACGTATGGCTGCCACGAAGAGAAAGAACTCAGGTGTAGGATTAACAGAGATGCCGGTGAAGACAAAGAAACAAAAGAAAATCACAAAAGATCTTCTGAATACGCTGTGGAAAAGCTAGTAGACATCTGCTATGGCGATCCAACTGGTAACAGCAAAAGGGGGCTTAAGTTTAAGGTGATCTTTCACTTATGTGCTTGAATACATGTTAGAATCCTTTAAAATAGACAGAAGCAGTAGGCAGTGCATTTATTCTGCACTTTGTACCTTCATCAGCAATATTTATTGAGTAAACTACATCCAACTCTTTTGATGCATATGCATTTGTTACTTCTTAAGCAAATTTAACCAGTAAACTGCACATCAACATCAACATCAACATACCCAGTATATTCCCGACAGGTTGGGGTTAACCAGTAAACTGCATCCAAACAATTTTGAGTTTTTTATGATTATGTAAATAAATAATAAATACAAAACCTTCATGCTTTTATTAGAACATAATTGTGATGGGAACATTTTTTCTGAAGTAAAAATGATGAAAGAAATGTGAGTTCCTCCTGGAAAAAGGAAGTATGGTCACATCTTACTAATTATGGGGCGCTCATTTTTAGCCTCATTATCAATTCTGGTGTTTTTCCTAAATAAAAAAAAAATGAAAAATTTAATGTTCCTGGTGCCCCGTTGCTCAATAACTTCCAGAGGTTGCTTTGGTTTATATTGGAATTTGGAAATAAGTAATAATAAAGGGAGAGGCCAAATATGATATCCAGAAGAAACTAAATTGCTTCTTCATTTTGGAGAAAAGGAGATGGAAAATTTTAGGAGCAAAATGACCCGTATAGGCCTTACTAGTATATCAAATTTTAGTAATACGAATTGTTCAAGGTTCTCTCTCTCTCTCTCTCTCTCTCTCTCTCTCTTTCTCTCTCTACTTTGTTTTCAGCGAGTCCTTCCTAGTGGAACGAGCACTTTGCACAAGTAATGAACAGTGCATTTTGTTTTATGTTAGTTTATGAAAAATTGACATACAACCTTTTATCATCATCAACATCAACATACCCAGTATATTCCCAACAGGTTGGGGTCTGGGGGGTTAGTTAAACGCAAACCTTACCCTTGTAATTATACCCAGTATACATACAACCTTTTATATTGAAAAAAAAAATAATGATATGCCTTTTGAGGTTTTATGCCAACTTTACTTTCTTTTAGGTGCGTTGGGAAGGATATGGCCCAAGTGATGATACATGGGAGCCAATTGGTGGCTTGAGGTTTGTTGTGCCAGATAATTAATTATTTTAATCCTGAATTATTATAGAGTGATGTACAACAAAAATTTTCTTCTATTTGTCCCTAGCAAATGCCATGAGCGGATACAGGACTTTGTGCTGAAAGGAATGAAAGCAAGGATACTGCCGCGACCAGTATGTTTGATCTTTTTGCATACTTTTGTGTCTATTTTTGGAAAGAAAATAATTTCATGCTAGTAGTGGATGGGACTATGTCAGGTCATCCTAGGGTGAATACAGAACCTGAACAAAACAGTCCTGTAGGAAATCTATCTTTTTACAGATATTGCAAACCAGGGAACACATGATAAAAGAAGTCTATATTGTTGTCATATTTATCATATTGCCCAGATGGATGAGAAAAGAGCAGGAATCTTCTGTACAGTATTGCTTTAGATTTGTGATTGAAAATTGTTTATTTTTACAGTATTGCTGCTGTGTAATTACTCCATTACTTATTATTTTTTCTTGCTCTACATGATCCCAACATACCACAGGGAGATGTTGCTGTGATTTGTGGTGGTCCTCCTTGCCAAGGAATTAGTGGTTACAACCGGTTCAGAAATGCTGACTCTCCTCTTGATGATGAAAGAAATCGACAAATTGTAATTTTCATGGATATTATCGACTTCTTAAGGCCAAAGTTTGTCCTAATGGAAAATGTAATTGATATCTTGAGGTTTGCTAACGGCTGTCTAGGAAGATATGCTATAAGCCAATTGGTTCGTATGCATTACCAAGCAAGGCTTGGAATTATGGCTGCTGGTTGCTACGGACTTCCTCAATTTCGGTTACGTGTTTTCTTATGGGGTGCTCATCCACATGAGGCAAGTATCCTCATTAATTGTTTTGGAAATCTCGGTATCACATGGTGATCAAGCTTATTTCCTACTTGTCGAGTTAAGGTCCTTTGATAAAAATATTGCTTCTCCAGTCTATTGAATTTCCATTTGGCTGCACTATTCCTGGCAGGTACTACCACAGTTTCCACTTCCAACACATGATGTTGTAATCAAATATGGATATCCTAGTGACTTTGAGGTGCTTGTCAGCTATTTTACTCTCGCTAGTTTTTACATAATAAATTTCTTTGGCTAAATCAATCCCATTGTGCAGCGTAATGTTGTTGCTTACGATGAAGGACAACATCGGGACTTGGAAAAAATTGTTGTTCTTGGTGATGCTATATCTGATCTTCCTCCTGTATGTTTCACCTATTTACAAATTGATCTAATTCATACATTGTACAGTTTAAATTCACGTGTGGCTTCTATTTAAGGTTGCAAATGGTGAGAATCGGGAAAAGATATCGTACAAAAATGAACCTCAAAATGAGTTCCAAAAGTATATCAGAGCAGCTAAATGTGGTAAGGCATCTAATCATTCCCTTCACTAACTATATTCAGGCATCAAGTACATTAGTTGCTTCTATTCAAGAGCATTGCTTTGGACCAAGATCATCCTCCCCCCTCGATTTCTTATATTTTGTATTTTTTTTTATTTTTTTTTGTTTCATCTTGTCCGTTCACGCTAGCTATGATGGGTTTACCTTCCTGCAACACAAGTACAGGCAAGAATCCTGTTTTGTATGATCATCTGCCGTATCCTCTGAATGAAGATGACTACATGCGTGTCTGTAGGATTCCAAAAAGAAAGGTTAGTTCACTAGGACCCTGTGCAGTGTGCATTATGGTTCGTGATGTTAATTCTCTCCTTTACTTCCCAGGGTGCCAATTATAGAGACCTACCAGGCATTGTTATTGGATCGAACAATGTGGTTACACGAGCAAGGGATCCCGAGTTGATGCCATCTGGAAAGCACTGGGTAATACAAAGATAGTCGTTATTCTATGGTTTACAAAGTTTTTTCATATCAGTTTTCAGAAGTTTTTCTGAAGGGAATGCATAGATTGTATACGATCCTGAGGATGGAGATCTCATTGGTTTAATAGGTTTTACTATAAACTTATATAGTAGAAACGGACACTAATGTAACTTAGCTTAAACCATTAAACCATTCTGCTTGGAGATAGGGCGTGATTGGATACGAATTTGATTGTTTTTTTTTTTTTGTTAATCATTGTTAATTTTGAAAAAGGAAGTATGATTTTAGTTGTTAGTGGGAATTTAAGTTTTAATTAAAATGATATTTAAAGTAAAATAATTAAAGTTGATTTGATGTAAAGTAGGAGAAAATGATTGGAAGTGATGGTTAGTTATAATTATGTGAGTGTAGGAATAGTATATTAAAGTTGATGTGATGTGTAAGAATGATTGGTTGATATTATTTAATTGTATTGATAATATTGAGGATAGTTGGGTTGAGTTAAAATTGAGTTAAATTTGAGTTTAACTAGTCTAGTTTACGTCCAATCACACCCTTAAGGTTGATTGATTAGTTGTGCCTACGTGAGAATGTTTTATCTTTTTCCTTAAGTAGTTTTTGGCCATGCATTTTTTTTCATCTTTCCCCTTTGGTATTCTCGTCGTTATCAGGTGCCCGATTATGCCATCAATTTCCGCGGTGGAACTTCCAAAGCGTGAGCTTTCTCTTTAGCTATTTTTTATTCTTTTCTTTGAGAATTAAGTGATCATAGTCTATTTCAATTGGAAAAATGCAGAGCATTTGGACGGTTGTGGTGGGATGAAACTGTGCCGACTGTCCTATGTTATCCGGATCCCCGTTCGCGGGTCAGCATCTTTCAGTTAGGTAGTTTTTCTTGCGCGCTGGACATTCAGCTAATCTTCAAGTATGGTCCATTCTTAATGCAGGCAATGATACACCCTGAACAAGACAGGCTCCTCACATTAAGGGAATGTGCAAGGCTACAAGGCTTTCATGACCACTATAAGTTCTGTGGAACGTTGAAAGAAAGGCAAGTATTTGTTTCAATTGATGATATTCTTCCGCATGCATAAAATTCATACATAGGTGGTGAATGCAAACACTCAATAAAAGCAATTTTCAGCTTCTGAGTGGGGAAATTCAATAATTCTTCCTTTGGAAGCTGAAAGTTACCTTATTCTTTTTGTTCGGGCAAATCCTCCCTTACTAGCCGCAGCGTGGATACTGATTTTCTTCATGGGTGGAGACATATTTGTAGGAGTCCAGTATAATCTTCCGTAGATGTTCCGTATTCATCCTTGAATGTGATTAAATCATTAGAACACAAGCAATGCATATGCTTAATCAACTAATCAACATCATTTGCATATCCATGTTGCATCATGGACCCGGGTCGAGATATAATAGTTGTTCACTACGAGCTTGATTGGATATAAGTTATTTTGGATTTGATGGTTAATTGGATAAAGTGAGATAATTTTGAAAAAGAAAAAATTGATTGACTTTGGTTTGAGTGGAATCTTGAGTTTGTGTTTAAATAATATTTAAAATATAATTATTAAAATTGATGTGATGTAAAATTAGGAGAGAAGTGATTAAAAGTGATGAGTACTTAAATTTATGTGAGTGGATGAATAGTGAATTGAAGTTGAAATGATGTGTGATGATGATTGCTTGATATTGTTTAACTGTATTGATTTTTAATTAAAAAGAATTATATAATCTGTCATAACTTGATATTTTGTATCCAATCATGCCCCAAGCACACATCCTAATTGATTCCATTCTTTGAAAACGGGATAATCGTGCCCCTTTTGTTATTGGTTTTTTGGCCTTTATAGGTACCGTCAAGTGGGGAATGCAGTGGCTGTTTCAGTGGGACGTGCACTTGGGTACTCACTGGGTATGGCGGTGCAGAAGCTGAGTGGGGATGAACACCTCATGACCCTCCCGCCAAAGTTCTCTCACTCTACAACTCTTGAGCTGCTATCTTCTCTTGAGAAATGATAAGCAGTAATATGATTCTTTTCCTTCTACTATATATTATTTGATTTGATTTGATGATCGGGAGGCGATGTTTCTCTCCAGACATTATTGCGAAAATTGCGTCACCAATAGTAATTCGGATTGTCATTCAATCATAAAAACATGTTGTAACTCATTCATATATTCGGATTGTAGTCATTCATTCAATCATAAAAACATGATGTAACCCATTCATCTTATGATTTGATCACTTTATGAATCAAAGTGGTAACCCATTCACCAGCTTGGCTTTCAGTTTCAGTCTAAAAATTCGCTTTCTTTTGTGATGTTCTTTCAGCTTTTGAAACTTCATTTATTATGAGTTTTAGATGGTGGTACGAGTATAAAGCCTGCCTGTCTTGTGATTTATTGTTGCGACGGTAAATTCACTAGATTGAGTTAATTTGAGGTGCTCTTATTGTAACAGTTTTTTTATTTTGATGTGTGCCTGCCACCTCAGTAAATAAACACTTTTTCAATATAAGGCCTGAAAGATAGGTAAATTATCAAATTGGAGCCTAAAAGATTTTTTTTTTTTTTTTTTTTTAAATTCGGGATCTAAATGTTACATAACTGTCAAATTAAGTCATAGAATTAACAAAACCTATAACACCATTAAATTGAGAGTTAATTTGAAGTTTTAAAACACCAAATATGTTACAAAGTAAAAAAAAAAAAAAAAGTGAAGAAAACTGAGGAATATATGAGATTGTCGGAGAAAATTAAGGAAAGTATGAAACTATTGTTCGGTTTTCTTGCTATCGTCTATTTCTTTTTTTTAAATAAAAAAAAATATTATACAAATGTTTACTTATTATTTTATATGAGTAAGAACCAATCTTTTTTTTTTTTACATTTTTTTAAACTCTCAATTTAATGGTGTTATGAATTTTGTTAATTCTAGAACTTAATTTGATAGTTTTATAACATTTAAGTCTGGAATTGAGAAAAAAAATCTTTCAGGTCCCGATTTGATAATTTATCCATCTTTCGAGCCTTGTATTGAAAAAATTACTTGGGGAAAAAAAAGAACACTTTCTCATTTAATTAAGAAAACATCAAAAAACATATCAATTTTTTAAATGTTCTCATCCATTTTTTAGCGTAGAAATAAGTGATATTAAAATATTGTGGATAAAATAATTGTTTTATCGAATAGGGCTCTTGGTAGGCAAGGCTAAATGGATAGAGAACTATTTAAAAATTAAAAAATAAAAAAATTTAGATGTGTATATTTTTAAATTAAAATATCATTTTAAAACACTATAACAAATCGTAGTGTGTATTTTTTTATGACAGAAATATTATAAATCCGCACATGCCTCTAATTAATTTATGTATATAACAAAGATATGACATTTGATTTCACTAATTAATTTATGTTATGACATTTGATTTCACTAATTAATTTATGTATGTATTAAATTAGCATGTATTCACTTGATAAGAATTGGACCTGCGCAGCAGTAAAGGCCTAATTGGTAAATTCGCCATAGCAATTCCCAACGGCTCCTTTTCAAAATATAGCCGTTAACACCTTCTTGCGGTCTTGCCCAATTAGGGAAAAAGTCATCAACAGCTCGCCGAAAAAACCTAAATCGCAACTTGATCGAACATATAAACCCTAAAATCCACAATTTCCACTAACCATTCAGGCATCTCTCTCTCTCTCTCTCTCTCTCTCTCTCTCTCTCTCTCTCTCTCTCTCTCTCTCTCTCTCTCTCTCTTGCCCGCCTTGATTTTCCATATTATAATTCAATTGATTGTGGTGTTAATTAATTTAATCTGTAGTTATTTTTCTAACCGACTCTTTACGTTTGAGCCTTCTTATACCTTTGATTTGTTGCAGGGCAATTTATTTTCAGTCTGTTGAATCGTACTCATACGCAGTAGATATAAATCAATTCGTTTAATTCTGGTTATTCCTTTTATTATCGCCATTAGTTTGTTGTCCTAACGTGATGGAGACAGGAATGGTTCACTCGTCTGCGTCTTCGAACAAGGCTCGACCTCGATGCCCACTACAGGAACAGCTCCTGCAGAGAAGAAACTCGAGGGAGAATGTATGTTACTGTTGTTTTATGAGTTGAATTTTGTTGTTCGGTTTGCCGAGTTTTCTTGATTGTCTAAATAATTCATGTCGCTGGGCATTGCATAGAGTCTTAGGGTATAATTTAGTTTAGGGGAAAGCGTGAAGCGAAGAATTTTTTTTGATTAGGATGTGATTCATATATATTCTTAAGGAGTTGTTTGTGTTCCTTTCAGGGAAATAGGAGGATTTCTGTTGTTTTACAAAATTTCCTTTGTTTTGTACTTTTCTCTTCTCTTTCTTTGAATTAATACATGCTTTATTTGTATTTATCTTTTTTTCCTGAGTCCTATATGGATTCTTGGTTGATTTTAACTGTCGGGGTACAATTTGATATAGAGGACTGAAAAATATGAGTAATTTCTCCGATTAGGATATGGTTTGTATAAGTATATTCTTCAAGAGTCATATATACCCATATTTCTCTTTATTTGCTTTGTTGTTTTCGTGTATTCGACACTTTAGCGTGCTCTTTCTTTATTCTTGGAGAATGGTTCTAGTTTAGAATCCATATGTTCTGTGGATGATCTTAATTGTATTGCAAACTTTAATGATGCCCTTACATTATTTTATTTTTGAGTTATAATAGAGATACTGGTTATTAATGAGTGGTTCTTGTATCTACCTTTCATTGACCTTATGTGGTGCTTGTCTGCAGTTGGATCGGTTCATACCTAATAGATCGGCCATGGATTTTGATTATGCGCATTACATGCTTACGGAAGGTAAGAAAGGTAAGGAAAATCCCGTAAGCTCTTCTCCTTCTAGGGAGGCATACAGGAAGCATCTTGCTGAGACCTTCAACATGAACCGCACCCGAATTCTAGCTTTCAAGAATAAGCCTCCAACACCAATAGAGGCCATCCCAAATGACATCTCATTGGCCACTCACCAAGTCAAGCCCACTAAACCCCGTCGGCACATTCCCCAGGTTGGTTCCATCGAATTCCTTTAAAAATAAATCTTAATCATCATAATGATCCCCAATGACTCTGCATAGGTGTACTAAAATGTTGACTCTAATTGGGTAAATAATATATGCTTTATGCAGACTTCGGAGAGGACGCTAGATGCCCCTGAGATTTTGGACGACTACTATCTGAATTTACTGGATTGGGGCAATAGTAATGTTCTTTCGATTGCTCTTGGAAACACTGTGTATTTGTGGGATGCTTCAGATGGGAGTACCTCGGAGCTTGTTGTTATCAATGAGGAAAGTGGGCCAGTGACCAGTGTGAAATGGGCTCCTGACGGTAGGCACATTGCTGTTGGTCTGAACAACTCCGAGGTCCAGCTGTGGGACTCGACTGCTAATAGACTGGTGAGTGTCTGCCTTTTTAATTATTGTATCTTTGCAATTAATTTGAATGGATTAATTTAAAAAAAGTACATGTAAGGGTGATGCTCTTTTGACATTTGCTTTCATTGTACTTGTATATGTAAAATCACCTCAATAGGTCACCTTAGTAGGGGTGCTTGTGTGGTGATACCTTGAGTTGTATTCATACAATTTTTGAGTAATATGGTTCTGAAATTCAAGAGTGTCCCTGAGGGTTTGTATACAACTGATTAATGACCTTCACTCATGTTATGTTTTCTGAATTTCAATTATTGAACTATGAGAAACGTCTCCAAGTTTTTCTCTGATTACATGAAAGCTCAGGCACCCATCTTTCAAAATGAAAATAATATACTTCCTTGATATTGGTTTCCATTGTAACAAAAACCACCTACATAGTGGATGTTTGTGTAATACTTTTAACGGTATGTTTGACCAAAAATGAAAAATAAAAAATCCTTAAAATCTGTGTCATTTTTGGAATTTTCTAATTTTTCCAAAGTCTTATAAGTGGAATTAACCAAATCCCCACAGCTGAGAACTCTGAAAGGCGGCCATACATCCCGTGTGGGTGCACTCGACTGGAACGGCCACATCCTGACAACTGGTGGAATGGACGGCCGCATCATAAACAACGACGTGCGCGTGCGGGCCCACATAGCCGATACCTACATCGGGCATCGTCAGGAGGTTTGTGGGCTCAAGTGGTCGGGCTCGGGCCAGCAGCTAGCCAGCGGTGGCAATGACAATCTCCTTCACATATGGGACCGTTCTGTGGCCTCGTCAAACGGGCCCACACAGTGGCTCCACAGGCTTGAGGACCACACTGCGGCCGTAAAGGCTCTTGCTTGGTGTCCTTTTCAAGGGAACTTGTTGGCCTCAGGAGGCGGAGGAGGAGATAGGTCTATCAAGTTCTGGAATACACACACAGGCGCGTGTTTGAACTCGGTGGACACGGGTTCTCAGGTGTGTGCCCTTTTGTGGAACAAAAACGAGCGGGAGCTGCTGAGTTCACACGGGTTTACTCAGAATCAGCTTACTTTGTGGAAATACCCGTCGATGGTTAAGATGGCTGAGCTCACGGGACACACATCTAGGGTGCTTTTCATGGCTCAGGTATGTTTGATATTATTGTGCTTTTCGAAGATGACTGTGTGTACTGAATGTAAAATGTATCCACTATTTTTTGTTCTGTATTTTGTACGCTTTTTCATTGGTTTGTCGTGTGTGTGTGTGTGTTTGAATTCCAGAGTCCGGATGGATGTACAGTTGCATCTGCAGCTGGAGATGAGACTCTGAGGTTTTGGAATGTTTTTGGGACTCCTGAAGTTGCTAAACCTTCACCAAAGACAACTGCTACTACCGAGCCGTTTGCTCACTTGAATCGCATTAGATAAGCTGGCGAAAATGCTGCATTATATTTTTTGTGTGCGAGTGTTGGATTCCAAAGGGGAGAGAGAGCTGAGCTGCCTTTGGATACCAAACATCTATAGAGCAAATGTGCTACTGCTCTTTTCTTTTTCTTTTTTTTTTCACGTTTTCTTTTTCTTGTTCATGTGATGAACTCAACTCAGTGCAGATTGATACTATATTGTGTATCTTAAGTACATATATTTTTGTCACAAACAAGTGACTAAATTGTACAGATTCAAAAGTTTGCTTCGTCATAATGATTTTTCTAATTGCTGTTAAGTCCATAGCCTTTATTGTTTCTCTTCATTTTGTGTCTTTTTTCCCTTAAGCTTGCATTTTGAAACAAAGAACAGAAAATGGAACTTATAGTGGTTGATATTTTTGGCATCAATTGAGAAAAAATACCCTCTCAGCTTTAACAGTATTCTGTCCAGTAAACTTGTAGCGAAAACAAGAAATTCTCATCAATAAACTTGTTTGTCAATGATAGTAAAGATTTTTTTTTTCCTTTTTTTTTTTAAGTTAAAAATATTATTGAAGGCCATAAACTAACAAAGCTGCTACTCCACCAATCCCAGCAATAAGGCCAATAATAACCCCAATTGGAGGCAGTCCACCTCCAATGGCTTTTCCAGTATTGACGTCGTATCTTGCAAACCTCTTCTTCGGTGCCCGGCATTGTGGGCAGGCATAATCCTCCGGCTGTGCATTAAGTAATAAAAAGAAACCAAATATTTTCTTAGGAACTTCCAAAATCTATCTGTTGATTCAACACAAAACATAATAAAGAGTGATGGATGATTGTTGGTCGAATAATTTGAAGGCAATAGTTAGGCGAAACAATGGTCGGGGAAGAAATGTTTGAAAAAATAATAATGGAAGTGATTCTCAACTTCTGGCTAAAAGGAAAAGTTTTTTTTTGTGTTTACAAGTGCTTCAAACACGTCATAACATAAACGTGCACAAATGATTTCAAAAAATCCAAACAAATAGTTTGTGTGGCTCCTAACATGCAATGAAATTTGCTGTGCAGGAAAAAGAAAAAGAAATCATACTTGCTCATCGAAAGATTTTTGCAGGGTGTATATGTAGCCACAGTCGAGACATATGTGAGTAGCACGTGCCTGTAAAACATTGAAAATAAAAAAACCCTTAAGCATATACGTACTAGTGAAGATTATACAAAATATACTCAGCTTGAAAATAAACTTTCTTCACCTTTTGAGCATCGGTGAGTTTTCTGCCAAAAGCAGGTGGGGCCGGGCGCTTTGGTAGCCTTTTGACATCCACTTCAGCTCCTCTGAATGATTAGGTGATCGGCAAATCATTAATATCATTAGCAAAAATAAATAATAAAATGCATTGCTTTGTAGAAAACCTTTAGATACTGTAGACAAAGCAGAATGTAATTTTACCGACAAGGATAACCAAAAGAGTTGTTCTAAATTCTAACCCATAAAGCAGAAAAAAAAGGAATGGGAAATACAAAGCCAGCAAAACAAATGCTAGTGCGATTCATATCAAAAAA